TAGTGAGTTCGTAAGAGAGTAGTATACGATGGTTCACGATGTGACCCTCATTGATTTGACCTATTTGCTTATTGCTGCTGAATCAGCGATGATTTGGCGCACTGGTCAAGCAAACTTGATTGGTCGATCAAACTCTCATACTTCATTGGACACTAGCTACATTGGAAGTCCAGAAAAGGCTGAGATTGTCCATTGCTATGTACCAAAGGAGTCCATTTGCTTTTACTGCCAAGAGAAGGGGCATTGGAGATGAAGCCGCCCTGTTTACCTGAGAGATCTACGAGATGGGAGAGTCAAGACGTATGGCTCTATTTCAGGTAAAATCCATTAACTAACTCTATAAGTTCCTATTTTTTGGTTCTTAATACATGATGTGATAAGATTACATTTTGAAGGTTTGCAGGATCAAAAAAAAAAAGGAAACTTAAGGAAGAAGCGTGCTGAATCTGATCACGAAGAAATGGATTTCGATCGCATGGATTCAAAGATCGGATTTTTGAGCTGCTACTTTAGAGTTAGGGTAGATTGCTAAGAAATATATAATAGCATAGCTTTTCAGTTAAATTGCATTGTAAGGACAAGTTTTTCCGCAATAAAATAAATTTTGAGTTTTATCTTATTTATTTATCCTTACAATGGCATGTATGAAAAAATTGATGTTTGTGTATTTCTATTATGAGAAAAATGGATTTGATTCTTAATTAGGTTATTTTTGGAAGTGTCTAGAGTTTACCAAATAGGGAGAGTTTCTCATCGCCCAAGTTTCAAGTGGATAGAAACTTGGAATCATGCAATGTGTATTGTATGATGAATGAAAAACTTTCATATTTGGAAATTAGACTAATTCTTTGACAAAGTGTCAATTGAAGGACTAAGAGATCGAGTGCACTAGGTCGTACGTTGATCAAGTCTACTACAAGAGTAAAAAAGATATTCGTCATGATTTACTAAAGATTAGTAAATATGGTTATCCTTATAAGATTGAGTATAATTCTGAGTTGATTGAAAGAGTTTCAATCAATAACAGAACGAATACGAAGTATCTAGTAGGCAGAAAGATAAAAGGTTCTCTGTTCTAAGAAGAAGGGAGAGTAACTTTTATTGTGTTTTATGATAGGTCTTAATGATTAAGAACCATGTCTCAATTGATCCTCTAAGTGAGTCTTAGTGCAATTACATGCCTAAGAAGAGGAATCGAGAATTATAGAAATGGTTAAAATCAAGAAGTCAATTATACTTCGTTCCAATATCAAGTATTAGAGTCAAGATTGTGACTTGAGTGACAAGTCTTAAGTAGGTTTGTAACATTTATCAAATGTAGAATAAGAAAGTTTCTTATTCTTGTACATTTGAAATTGGTATGTTGTTATGTCTTGGATAAGACAAAGACCAACTAGGACCAATTGAGGGAAGTGTTAAACTTGATAAGAAGCTATACTAACTCTTCAATATTTGTTTTTTCAAGAAATGGTTCTTGACAAGAGAACCTTATATGTCAAGGAGTCAGTGGGAGTCTTAAATGTCTTGAAAAGTTTCAAGAACAAATTCAAGAATAAACCTAGTTGATCATCACTAGCGCACGACTTGAGGTTTATAACCTATCGTGACTGACATACTCTAGTTTCTATGCCATTCCATTTGAACTATGTATGTGAGTTCTATGAGTTCTCATTTGAATGCATAAAGGCAAGCACCTTTATCAATGGAAAGTGCATTGATAGGTAAGGGTGAGGTGCTTAACAACCAAGAAGCAATCGTGGACACTCGTGCTGCCATGAGGCAGGAAATTGAGATTGAACAAGTTCAGTCCATATGAGTTGGATTTGTCACAAACATTGTCTTATGATTGTTTTTATGACAAATTTACATGGATAGGAACGCATACATCAAAAAATCTAAGTGTCATAAGGTTTCCCTCCTTCATGAAAATGATTGTGAGGAAATGCTTTCACTAAGAGAGATTTTAAGGAGATAGCAGTTGTGTAAATTCTATTCTCAAATTCGATTATGATTATGGCATCCCTCATCACAGTTTGAATTGTCAGATTTGGCAATTAGTCTGAACATTTGGGACTTAGTAACATGAGTTCTAAAATTGTTTAGACACACATAAGCTATCTAAGAAAAGGTGTATGAGTTTAAGAAGCTTAGATAAATGATTATCAAAGCATCTAGTATTAGAAATATGAACTTAAGGAATTCAATAAGCATTGCTTTCTGGAAGTTCAACTGTTTTCTGAATAAATGTCAAAGCTAGTGGGAGCATAAGTGTTATGACAATAAGGAAATAATCATCGTGTTAGTGGGAGCATGATTATTATGGTAAGTATTGCAAGTTAGCAATATTGATTATCGAAAACAAGAGTTATACTTTGCAAAGTCGGAAGGGTTGAAAAGTTGTTTTGCTATAATTAAGGGAAAAAAATATTATACTTCATTTCAAATCTAAAGGCTTAGATTGTGGAATTTTAATCAAATTTAGTCAAATATATATGAATGTTGTGTTGGAATGGTTCAACATGAGGAAATTATATATAAGGAAAGGATAATTGCATTCTCAAAATTTGGTTATGATTACGGCATCCCTTTTCATAATCAAAATTGTGAGAACATGACAATTAGAAATATTATAGCAAAAACTGGTAAAGTATCACGTCTTTATGTAAGACATTATGAATCGTGTCCCATACGCTTCGGATATAGGATCGATTTCATATGCTATAATGTTTGATTGTTCTAAAATTTTCCAAATGCTTAGCGCATTAAGAGGGAAAAGGGACTAGAACAGTTTTTCACTAAAATAATTAAACAACTATCAAAGGATGATCTAAGGTTTGCCAAGAATTTGTTGCTTGTGAGTAGTTGGAAGTATAGTGTTGGATGGACCATATCGACATTATTATGAATAGATAAGATTCTATTAAGAATGAGTTGTCATATGGAAAATATATGATTAAGTATTATTATTGTGTTTTAAAAGTGTTTTAAAGTGTTTTATTTACACTCAATAGTTTTGGGGCCATATAGGATTAAGTATTATTATTGTGTTTAAATTTTGCATGTTTTGACTTCCAGAATAACTCGGTTATTCGAACCTCAAAAGTCGGTCATATGTTGGAAGTAGGTGTGAAGGAAGACTGTCATGAATATGTCTGTAAATTGTCTAAAGTGTTTAGACATAGCACAACTTTGCTGCAGAGTTCATGAGTGCTTTAATAAGATTAGAGTACTAGATTAAACCCACACTCACATGAATCACTTCATGGATTTTATCGCGAGTGATTGTGAGATGATAATATTGTATATTCTATAAACCGAGACGTGTGAGTTGTTATTTGCTGGTCAGTTGCACATTGATGATGAGAACACACACCAGTAACTTGCTGTTATAAAACTTATTAGTGTGTGTGATTCAATCAGTAGGTGCAAGCGAGCATTTGAGTCGAATTTTATCCATTCCTTTTACCCAAAGTAGGCTAAAAGCGATAGATGTGGGCCCCTAGATGATCTAGTGATGACACCTTAAGCGCTTGGCCAATCCGGGACTAAGTTGATGTGTTCAATTGTAGTCTATTGTCAGTCGTCATAAATCGGAAGTAAGGAAAAAATATAGAGAGAATGATTAAAATTCATGTCTCGTGTCTATACGATATCTTTAGAATGGAGGTATATATAATCCATTATCTAAAGGACACGCGTATCTGATAAGATCAGAGTTGACAACGGCTTTTGAAAGCTACGATTACTGACCAGGTTCTGAAGTCAAACGGAGAATAGTTATTAGACTTATCCAAGTGAGAGATTGTTGGATTAGTGTCTAAGTCCATAACTATTTTGGTATGTACTTGACCCGATTATGAGCATGGTCCTTTTGGGTTGCCTTCACCATAGCAATATGTAGGATGAATTAAGGAGAGAAAGGTATAATTATGATTTATTAATATATTATAAGAATAATATATTAAAGGAGAAATCATAATGTTTAATTAATATTAGCCAAGAATTAATTTTGTGGCTAAAAGAGATTAATTAAACTTAGGGGATTGGATTTGTAATTATAAGATAATTACAATTGGGCTATGGATTACCTAAGAATATAGGTTGGATGACTTCTATGGGAAGGCCATAAGGAATTCATCCAAGGGATATTCCAAAGGGGTCCATGGGCTTCTTAGGGCCTAAGCAGTCAATTTAGGGTTTCCTAGCTTGATAACCCTAATAGCCTAAGTATATAAGGAGCCCATAGGCACCAAAAACGTGGCTAACACTTGTATTAGGGTTTCCAGCCATTTTTGGTGCCTCCTCTCTCTTCCCTTCTTCATCTTGTTGCTTAGTGGTGTTTGTGACTCCATTAGAGGTGCAACACTTAAGGCACTAAGCTTTGTGAAGCCAATGATTAGATTGTTATTGATATATAACAATCAAAGGTTAGATCTAAACCCTATTTTATGTCAATATGATTAATTGTATGCTAGATCTAAGGTCTATAGCTTTGAATATTCAATTGCATGTTCATTAGACAAACTAGATCCAAAAGCTATTAAGGTTTGCATGTACACCATAGGAATGATGTATTGCTCGAAACCCATCAATAAATACCTAGATATGGAATCGAATCAATCAAATCCTAAAGAGAAGAAGAAAAAAAGATTTAGGGGTTGGGAGAAAGAAGACACACAGAGATGCAAACCTAAATGGGTTATTGCTGGTTGCACATACTAGAAAACTTGGTCCAGGTGTGTCTGTAAAAAGGTCAAAAAAACTGAATTCAGATGAGCTGATTTGAGAAGGAGGAATTAAAGGGTGTATACCTGATGTGGATCAAGTTGGTGGGTGCAAGAACGAATTCTGCATTACCTAGATGAAAGGGTTGACAACTACAAGTCGATTGAAGGGAAAAGGGTAGGAGACTCAGATTCGTCGGAAAAATCAACATCAATATGGGTTTCTTTGAGATTAATTCATGGATGAGATAATAGGGTAGTAGGTTGCTGAAAGGAATGATGTTTCATCGGAGGTGTGTTCATCGGCAGTGGGGTTTAATCTTCAGGAGGTTGAGTAAACGAGGGGGGATTTCGACGATAAGATTGAAGCTTTTGACTATGAAATGTTCGGCGATTGTTGAGCATGGTGGGATTAGGTACGGTGGGGCGGTGGATTTGCCACGATGGGTGCAGTCGGTGGTCCAGGAGGAGTGGACGGTGGAGGTGTTTGATTTGGAGTTAATGATGAACAAGGATATTGAAGAGGAAATGGTGAGGCTGTTGCAGGTATGAGTGTGTATGTAAGAGAGAGAGAGAGAGAGAGAGAGAGAGAGAGAGAGAGACCCATTGAATATTAAATTTAATTATTTTTTCTTATAAAAAAACAAAATAAAAGAAAACCTCATAAAAGGTCCCTGGATAGTTAAATGACGACAATACCCTTCATTTAACGGTAGAAAACTAACGGAGTTAGCAAAAAAGACCAAACATCAAAAGTTTTGAAAACACAAGGACCATCTATGAGATTTTTAAACCACGGGGACTAAACTTTAGATTTTGAGTAACCATAGGGACCATTTATGATGTTTTTTCTAATAATAATAATAATAATAATAATAATAATAATAATAATAATAAAATTGTAAAAAGTTGTAGACTATTATATCATGAACTAGGTGAACCTTTGGGCGTTGCGCAAAATAAAACTATATAGTTAAATAGTTTGTATATACATATTGAAAAGAATAACTTACACCGTGTTGATATATAAATTTTTAATTATTTTGAACGATATTATAAAATATACATATATCATAATTATATCATTCAATAACATCTAACCATGGTTTGCGTTTAAATATAACTAAACATGGTTTTTGATTTTGTATTTTAATTTGAAGTTATAATTGAATAATTTAGAAATTACTTATCTATTTATTTTTATTTTTTTAAATTTTGATCATGATGACTAATTGATATATAAACCATTATTTTTAAGTTAACACAATGTCATTTTATTTTTTGTTAATTATTAGAAACAAATTATTTGGAAAAAAATAATTATAATATAAAATAGTTTTTAATATCTTTTATGTACTTTGACATGTTGTTCTACATTATAATACTTAAACCTTCTAAATATGATATAAAAAAATAGTATATAAATATGTTTTTAAGTTTATTTTATATTATGCTTTGGATTTAATATAATATTCGATTTAACAAGTAAATGTATTATAATAATCATTTTAAACATCTACCAAAAATAATATAATATTTTGTATTTAATATCATATTATAGATTAATTATATTAAGTTGAAAATTGAAAGATCATAGAAGTTTCAAATTAATATGGTAATAGGAAAAAGTCGAGATGATATGTTTTTAAGTTCATTTTATCTTTTGATTTATATTTTGGTTTTAACATAATACTTAATTTAACAAATAAGTGTACTATAATCATTCTAAATGTCTATCAATAATAAGATAATATTTTTCATTTAATATAATATTATATATTAATAGATTATCTATATTAAGTTAAAAATTAAAAGCTTATGAAAGTTTCAAATTAATATATTGATACAAAAAATGTCTTCTTTATTTATGTATAATATGATATGATATTATATGATTATATGATACTAATAAATTAATAATTGCTAACAAAATTATCATATATATATATATATATATATATATATATATATATATATATATATATATATATATATATATATATATATATTTTGAAGAATTTGAAGTTGGATTTGTGTGTAATAAATAAATAAAGTAGGGAGGAAGGCACGCGGGGAAATCAAGCTCCGAAATCTCAGTGTATGATGGTTTTGGGGAAATCAATGAGGATTTTGCCTTCACTTTCAAACAACTTATATCATCAGCATCACCACCACTCCACCACTCCGCAATCTGAACTCAACTACGCCCACTTTAACTTGTTATATAAATCCAAGTCTCCATCTTCAGAACTAACACCACATTCCCTTCTTCAATTCCTTTCTAATAACAATTCAAGAAAATGGGTGATCTTTCTTGCTCAAATGCTAATGGTACTAATGTCTATTCTCAGAGGAAAAGCTGCTGGTATGAAGAAGAGATCGAAGAGAACTTGAGATGGTGTTTTGCTCTCAACAGGTTTCTTTACTTAATCTTTTTATTAATTCTACTTTATGATCAACACCATCTTCATTTGTTCTTTTTTTAAACAGTTTGATTTAATTTATAAACTTCTAAACCTTAAACATGTTTCTATTCGGCCTTTTTGCTAAAAGGTTTTGTACGTGTTAAAGCTAGACAAAGATTAGTGGCAAACAAGATTCTCGTCCCAGGCCCCTATGATTTTTTATTTGGTCAAATAATATAATACTATATAAAAAAGCTTATACGTTTATGGGTTATCAACTTCATTTTAATATTTGGAAGAAAGTCTCTAGCTAGAGTTTAACTTTGCTTTATGATATTCTTACGCAGTATACTACACACAGGAGCCACTCAGTTCCAGGACATTCAACTTTTGGACACTAAACCCTTCGGGAAGGTACTTAGTATACTCCACTTTTACTTTTCTTTATTTCTTTTTTCATCCAATCCAAAAAAAAAAAAATCGTCTTCGATAAATATAACAAGTAAATATATTTAATTTTCTCAGGCTCTAGTAATCGATGGAAAGTTGCAAAGTGCAGAGATCGATGAGTTCATCTACCATGAATCTCTTGTTCATCCACCACTTCTACATCACCCGAAGTACAACTCTCTATCCAGTTCTATATAGGAATCATATTCAGAAGTTTTTTTTTTTTTTTTTTTTTTTTTTTTTAAATTAAGTTACTTTATATCATGATATGTAATTTGATCGAAATTTTTTGTTTAGTCCGAAGACCATATTTGTTATGGGTGGAGGTGAGGGTTCAACTGCAAGGGAACTACTTAGACACAAGACTGTGAACAAAGTTGTCATGTGTGACATTGATGAGGTGACATCCCTTCGTTTTTCCATCTTTTGCTCTTTTTAACAAGATTACGTAAAATTAATTAACCACATTTATTATGTATATACGCACTCAAAACGAAAACTCTCACCATATGAGCAGGAAGTGGTGGAGTTTTGCAAGTCTTATTTGGCAGTAAACACTGAAGCTTTCGGTGATCCAAGACTCGAGCTCATTATCAATGACGCTAGGTTGAATACGTTTGTTAATTTAATTAATCCCATAAAAAGCTCCTATAAACCTTTTATCATTTATAATACGATTGAGGATTTATGTAATTTAATTACTTTGTAGGGTGGAACTTGAAAAGAGAGACGATAAATATGATGTGATCATAGGAGACTTGGCAGATCCCCTTGAAGGTGGCCCATGTTACCAACTCTACACCAAGACCTTCTATGAACTCACTGTTAAACCACGACTCACGGAGGGTGGCATTTTTGTCACACAGGTAAATTTAGAAAACACTTAGCAGATAGACGCCATTGAAGGATTATTTAAATATAATTACAAGAAGGATTATTAAAATAATAATCTAACATTTTGTGTAGGCTGGACCAGCTGGTGTATTTAGCCACACAGAAGTTTTCTCTTGTATTTTCAACACTCTAAAGCAGGTTTTTAAATGTAAGTTTTGATGCATGACAATTAATATTGCTTTAACTTTATTTTAAAGATCATATTTCTTCTTTATATTTTATTAATTTGGTACAAATGGTGAACAGATGTGGTGCCATACTCAGCTCACATTCCTTCCTATGCTGACATTTGGGGATGGGTCATGGTAATTTTACTATAGGCTTCTATTGTTCGCTAAATTTATTTGTAGTAATCTTTCTGCCGTATAAGTTAATGATGTTTCTATTAAACTTGACCACAGGCATCAGATTACCCGATAACACTGAGTCCAGATGAATTGGATTTGAGAATGAAGCAAAGGATCAATGGGGAGAATAGATATCTTGATGGAAAAACATTTGTGTCAGCTTCTACCTTGAGCAAAGCAGTTCGAAAATCGTAAGAGCTATTGATTTTTTTTTTTTTTTTTAAATTTGTGGTCAGTTTTTTAATTCAATTATACAGATATCATATTTTCTTGTATATTTGTAGATTGGATGATGAAACACATGTGTACACAGAGGGTGCAGCAAGATTCATCTATGGGCATGGACACGGTTCAGCTCAGAAGCACGATCATCATGCTTGACAAGGGACGGATTTGATGCACGAAAGATGAAGCAAATTCCCTTTAATTTTGATGTTTTATTTGAATTTTCTTTGTTTACCTTTTCTTTGTATTTTGTTTCTTTAATTTTGTAGCCACCAATGGTAAATTAATTTCTAAATGTTAATGAACTTCTATGAAAACGGATTCACAACCCAATATGTTTAACTTGTTATGTGAAAATACATTTTATTCATGCGTGCATGGTTGGTCATTGTGTCTCTAACAAGTAAAACATTAATATTGGCAAGGAAGTTAAAATGTGTGTCACGAACCATTATCGAGCTTTATTAAGGTAACGAACTTGAATCTATCATAAAAAATATTCATTGGCGAAGAATAAATTACACCTACGGAAATTTATTAAAGGTGATTTTTATCGAGCGTGTTCGTGTTGATATATGTTCACAGGAACGGTGGCTATTTTCTTAAGGTCATGAAAAAATTGGTTGCCTTGGACTCTTGGTGATATAATATCTCCCCATATGGTCATTTTAGGATAAGGGTAGAAAGTAATAATACAATAGGTAACTAAGTTGATGATTAATAATAAACTAGAGAAGAATCCCCGCCTTGCGGGGTTGGATACGCTAAAGAAAACGACACAACGGGAAGATTTTATTAAGTTACATTGAACTGATTAGATTAAACTTGTATTCTAGTCGACAGGTTCATTTTTTATCACACACTTATCGTTTGCAATCCTTTTGTGGATAGATCCTATCATGAAAGGTATATTATCTTCAGTGGAGAAGTCATCGGTTTTGTAGTCTGGATGTTATTCTTATGATCTTTGTGGGATTTCATTCATTTCAAAAATGACATTTCTTGGATGATAATCACCTGAGAAAGTTCCTTGGAATGTGGTTTGATAACCATCCATCCGCATTTGTTTGTCAACATCAGTAGTAAATTATTTGCAAAGTAATAACTAGAAATCAACAAAATATAAAAAAGGGCATATCGGTAAATGTTACCTGGGTGATAAGTTCCAACTGCTTAACATAATATTTTCAACGCAAGCAGCATTGTTCGCCACCACCCGAGAAGCAAAAGATTCTAGAGTCCAGGCATGCAACTAACAAACCATACGTCAATCAAATTCAGGATATAGTTAGTATGGTGCAAATTACATTGATCATGCATTTAACTGTGATTAGGTAATTAATAGATGAGAGCCTGATCACTTATTTGGATAATCAATTAGATGAAATCAATTTCTTGGAATAGGGGTTTTAGCTTCGATGCAAGGGAAAAACACAAGGAAAAGCCCTACATCTTGAAGTGACAAAATTCTTTATTTATTGGGCATCATAGCATTATAGAGTGTGGAGATTTGCCGCAATGAGAATTTTTTTGGAAATAGCAACATACTTTTACTATTTTGATGTTTAAAAATCTTTTTTTAAGTATCATCCATAAAATTATTAAGAATAAATCACACCAACGTTAATACCCTTTTTTTTTTTTTGCTAATTGTATGGATTGATCATTATTTCCACATATTTACACCTACTTGCTCAAAAAGATAGGCATATTCCATTATCTACAAAAATAATAATGATCTTACCATAAACAAATATAGAAGCATCAAATGTATAACATATTTGTGAAGTGAGACAAACCTCAACCATTTTCTATTGCTTTTTCATGGGCTGAAAATGTGTTTTCGTGTACATACTTCTGTATTCACCTTTAGTAATTGTCACACTCTAATAGAAAAAAAAAACAATTTATGAAAATAATAAAACATATTTGTTACATGTTTCAAGTTTCCAAAATGTAGCAAAATAAAAACTTGAAACAACCAATCGGTTTTCCTGCTTCAAGAGCACCCTGGCATCCATCGACTTCGGTCCTATCCTGTAACATCCCGATTCCTAGGTATGAGAATTTTCAATAAAAATGCAACTTTTCCCTTGGAACTTGTCGAGTTGATGGGCTCAAATCGACGTGCTGAAAGTTTTGGGCTACGGATCTTTTTGGACCAACTCGACGAGTTGGTGAGGAAAACTCGATGAGTTGGTGGATGATTAAGAAACCCAAATTTCTAGGGTGTTACACGCTATTTAAAGGCCTTATACCCTTTGGGTGGCCTTCTTACCCGTCTTCCCTGTCCATAAACCCAAGTCTCGTGATTTCTCTTCCATATTTGTGTATGTGTGTGAGCTTGAAGAGTGTTTTTTTGGTGTTCTTTTGAAGAAGCTTGAAGGTTGAAGTGGTTTGTGTGGAAAAGAGGCTATAAATCCATGATCTTCTCTTGTGTTGCAGTCATTTGGAGGTATAAATTTGACACTTTGCTTATCTATAGCTTAGGTCTCATTCCTTGAATGTTTATTGTCGTATTGGCTGATTCTTGGGTTTGTTCTTGGTTTGAGCATGTCATGAAGTTATAATGTAACATCCTGTTCTGGATAGTTTTGTGATTTAAGACCCGTGGGCCTTAATCTGACTATAAGAAAGGTTTAGGCCCTTTTGGGATGTGGGTAAGGTTGGTTGTGTGATAAAAGAGTTCGGTTTGTGATTTAGAGCCCAAATGTATTGTTAAAGGTGCTAGTTTGGGGCTTTCATGAATTTTGCATATGGGTTCGAGTGGGCTTCGGGAGGAATAAAGTTGATAGAACTGTACGGCTTCTCGTTACCTTTTCGTGGATATAAGGATCAGTGGAAACGGATTTATAACAAAGAAGTTATGGCCTTCAGAAGTTTTGTGGTTTTAGGCTTAGCTGAGTACGCTGGGCGTACTAGTGAAAAAGGAAGTATGTTGGGTGTACTTTGGAGTACGTTGGGTGTACTGACCAGGGGTGGTCGCGAATGTTCTTCGGAGTACGTTGGGCATACCATATGTACAGTGGGCGTACGCTAATCAGATCTGAATCGTATTTTAGGGTCTTGGACCCTATTTAAGCTCCTTATCTCATAACCTAACCCTAATATCTTTAGCCTCCATCCTTCTAAACCCTAGAAATCGACCCTAAGACTCCATTTTAGTGATTCTTGAGCATTTTGGTGATTTAATGATTTTTTGGTGCATATGGTGGAAGAAGGAGTTCCTTGAGGAAGCATTGCTTGGCTTGGAGCTTGTGGATCCAAGACCTAATCAGGTTGATCTAGCTCTAGAAAGCATAAAGTTTGAATCTTGGTAGTTTTCTCTTATGGATCTAGCGGGGGTGGTGACTTGTTATGTTTGGCTTTTGAAGAATAAGGATCTTTGAAAGAGAATAGCTTGAGCATCTAGCTTTTGGATCTATGTTCTTCTCTTATTGGTGCATCTTCCAGAGGTATCAAGTTTGAAACTTGCTTATTGTTGTGCTAGTTTTTGTTATGGGTCCATTTTAAGGTTTTTGGTCCCAAATCTTGAAGCTTTATGCGCTGTTGAACTCTAGAGCCTATTATATGTCCCTTTAAGTGTTTCTAGTGGAGAGGATTCATAAAAATCAGGTCTTGGATGTTGAAATCGAGCCATGCATGAGTTAGGAGCATTTTGAGACAAGAGAATGAGAGTTTTGGGTGTTTGTGAACTTATCATACATGCAAAGGCTTAAAGTCATTGACTTTATGGAGTAAGAGTCTTTAGGGAGTCCAAATCGGTGATATGAGTTAAGGTCTTAACTGATTAAGACCAAAAGAGTAGAAAAAGTAACTATGGGCATACGCTGAGCGTAAATCTAGTACGCCCCGCGTACTAGGTTGGTGTCCCCAATCAAGATTCATGTACGCTGGAGTACGTTGAGCGTACCAAGGGAGGTACACCCCACGTAACCCCACTGTGGACATTTTAGGCTAAGTCTTTTATTGGGCGTTAAGTGTTGGACCTGGAGTTTGGGCTTGTTGTGCTAGAGATTTGGACCAGAGGAATATGTATATGTGCCTTGGGCCCTTGAGTTGGGCTTGCCTCTTGGACTTGAGAGTTGGGCCTTGGGAGAGCCCATTTATTATTGGGCCTTGGTGGGCCCAATGGGTTTTAGGCTATTAATGGGCCGGTTAGTGGTCTTCCTTTACACCTAACGAGTGAGAGTCTGGACTTAGTTCCTAATTGGGTTAATTGTGGATTTGGATCAGAGTTAGAGACCGGTACGTGGCAACAACGTTTTAGGGGTTGTTCATCATTCGAGGTGGATCTTCTCACTATACTTTACCTAGAGTGGTAATTATGCGTGACCAGAGGGTCTTATGTGCTTGCCTGAGATATGCATTTTATGTGTGATATGTGTTGTGTGCTATATTATGTGATATTTAGACCGGACCGGAGGGTCCAACGAACTGTGCTATATTATGATCGGACCAAAGGGTCCAACGAACTATGAGACCGGAGGGTCCTCACTTAGATTGGACCAGAGGGTCCAACGAGTTGTGAGACAAGAGGGTTCTCACCCAGACCGAACCAGAGGGTCCAATGAGCCATGGGACTGGAGGGTCCCACTGAGACACATCGGAGCAAAGGTTCCTACGGAGTTATAGCCTCGAGTGGCTAATATGTGTATGTGGTATTTTGGGGAACTCACCAAGCTTCGTGCTTACCGTGTTATGTGATATGTGTTTTAGGTTTTCTCAGGATCGCGGGGAGGCACCGACTTGATTGTACACACCAGAGAAAGAGTTATGTTTTGAGGATTGTGGAGTATTAATCAAATAATTATGGAGTTGTGTTTTGTAAATTAATTCAATGAAATTTTGTGAAATGTGTTATGAGAATTATATGATTTTAAAACGAAAATTTTGTTTGAAAATTTACGTTGTTACATATAACTTCAGATCTGGATGTTTTATGGCCTCATTAGGCTTAAAGTTTCAAGCTTTGTCTAGATCTAGGCTTCCCTCATGTTCTAAGTACCTTAATAGGCCTTCTTTGAGTGTTTTAGCCTCTTTGTGTTATGCATTGACGTAAAGTTTGCAACTTTACATGGTTTCACTACTAGAAAAATAGCCTTTTACGACGCGCAATTTATGATACGCACCGATTTACGATACGCAAAAGTGTGTGACCAAAAAATAATATCATCTCTCTATAAATTTTAAGGATTTAGAACGCGCATTTTTGCGTGCCCTTAAATTAGTGTTAAACAAAAAAACCCGGAGGGCGCCTATAATAAAATGTGTGACGTCTGAAGATGTCGCTTTATAAATTTTAATGGAAACACGGTTCCATCCTTTAATAGTTGAGGGGGCGGGGGAAATGAAATCCTCAAAACTTAAAAACCCCGCCTTCCTTTTTCTTACTTTCCCTCTTGCCCTAATTATCCACGCTCCTTCTTTCCCCTCCTGAAATTGACGGCTCCCTACTTCTTCCCACCCGCTTCGACCATCATTACTTGCCATTCCCGGTCGTCAACGTCGATCAACGCAAGCACGCCACCAGCCGACAACCGTCACTCTCTCCTTCCCTTTTTCTCTATAAACCCTAATCCGCCTCCACCACTACCGAATCTACCTCAACGCACCTCTGACCTCGACTTATCTGTTTTCGCCGGTGACCTCGGGCTCACTTGACCTCACCAAAGACTACAACAATTGTTCAAGTTTACAAGCCCTAGGTTAGATTAATATTGAAGTTGAGTATGATTCTAATGAGTTGATTTTGTTTAAAGCTTATCTTACACGAGATTAACCTCTTTTCTTTGAAGTCTCAGAGATCTGAAAAGAAGGCTACGAGATTTGTGAGAAAATGAAGAATTCAATATCAGACCAAGCCTTTTTCATCGAGAGTGAAGATTATGAGGAAGACAAGGACTCCATTAGAGGTGAAGACGATAGGAATGATTTAGAATTTTCAAATTATTCTGACGATAACCCTGAACATCAAAGAAAACCTAGTTCCTTAAACCCATCGTAGCCTCAAAGTTACAGGTATGACCCCATCCCACTTTTTTGGATTCTACTTTAATTCCTTATACAATCAACAATTTATGGGGATATAAAAGTTCTTGTAGATGAAATATATCGAAGAACAGTCCCAGATCTTTAATAAGATTATGAGGATTAAAGAGGTTGTTGAGAATAGCCCCAATGAGGTATTTCTCTATTACTTAAGTAATTTAATAGAACAAATAAAATGAAGCATAGGCATATGAGGAGCACATCTTTTCGTTTCACCGACTTCAAATCATGGAAAACTCCCTGAGCATTGAAATGGTGGTGGTTTTAAATGAAAAATCCATTATTTCATATTTTTATTTATATTGAACAAACCGATTCCACCGTGGTTTCTGATCCACGCTGACCAGTCGTCCCAGTCTTCAACGATTTTCTGCCCTTCTTCAATCTTGAGTACACGGTGTGTGCTTATTTTTTCTGCTCAAATCCCAACTTCCACTTCAGATTTACAATATTTTTCTATATTTTTTTCTTCATAAACATGCTGATTTATCCCATTCTATACCTAAACTTTGATGTTATGAATAGGGTATCAATAGGGCTAGGGTGGAGCAAATGGAAGACCGGTTAAAGGAAGACATATTGCTAGAAGCTGCAAGGTATTCTTTTTAACATGTTTCTGTGTTTGATATCCATTTTCTTATCATCTCAATACCTATCTCGATTACAGATATGGAAATAAGATCCTAGTAACTGATGAACTACCAGATGGTCAAATAGTGGATCAATGGGAGCCAGTCACACCGACTCTGTCAAAACATCACTACAGGTTCACCATACTATGAAATTAAATGTTCATTTTGAATATCTGTTTCATAATTCCTTTCACTATTGTAGGTCTATTTAGAAATCCAAACAAGAAAATTCCTTGTTGACTACGAACGCATTCCAGCAACAGATGAAAAATCACCCAAGGAACATGATTTTGATACGTTGGTGAGTGTTATTTTCATTGGTGAGTGTTATTTTCATTTAACAAAATGAAAATATTTAACTTAGATTATACTTTATATATGATTTGTGTTTTATGATCTTTATAGGTTGATAGAATTTCAAGAGCTGATCTTAAGACAGAAATAATCTTTAACTGCCAAATGGGGCATGGGCGTATTACCACAGGGATGGTCATTGCCACATTGATCTATTTAAATCGAATAGGAGCTTCTGGTACTTTTTTTTTTCTCTGTGAAGTTTATGTTTTATGATTGCATGCTTTTACAGTATGCAAATGAACCTTTTTCCTTATAAATTTCCCATTACAACAACATTCTTGAGGCCTGGGTAGACCCGTCTTTTGGCACAACATGAGAGAAGAACCTGTTATTTACATTAATGGAAAGCCCTTTCTGCTTCGTGAGGTTGAAAGACCCTACAAAAACATGCTCGAGTATACGGTATATACTAATAATCCTCTCTCATTTTTAATGTTTATTATTTAAATATACTCAAGTGTCAAGTGGTTTAATGTAGGGAATTTACTGTGAAAGAGTGGAGAGAATGGAAGCTCGACTGAAAGAAGATATTCTCAAAGAACCTGAACGTTATGGATGTAAGGTATCTACCTGATACCTTGCTGCAACCTTGTTGCCTAAGAACAGAAAACAAAACAGAGCAGGAAGAAAAAAAGGAAAAAAACTACATGGCTGGCAACAGGTGATAACAGGGGAAGAAAAAGATGGGATTTTTTATTTTGCTTGGTGGAAAAGAAAACTTTTATTGCTGAAAAACTTCTTTCTAAATACCTATAACGTAGCATATTTATACTAAAAGAAAAAGAGTTTGACTCATAGTCTAAAACCGGGAAACAAAAATAATAAAAGCATTTTCCTAAAATGCCCCTGTGGGCTTTTTCCTGAATTACGCCAACAATGGAGGTGATATTATGGCAATTCACGAACTACAATCATATTTTATTACAAAAACTTAATTAAATTGGAACTTTCCCAACATACCCCTGAGGCTATTTTTGTCCCCAATTCTCAGGGGACGGAATAATGATGGATGGTCAAGCTAAAATTTGGTTTTGAATTTAATTTGGTATAAAAATGACAGGTTTGATAATGGTAGATGGTCAAGATACAAGAACTTTTCAAGTCCATTTGGAATATTACACTACAGATAATATTCTCTCTTTATTTCAGAACTTCTTACTTCTTCGTCTTATTAACTTTTTCATCTTATAATATGCAGGGCCGGCCCAAGGGCAGGGCGAGCTGGGCCGTCGCCCAGGGCAACAATATACCACGGGGCATCAGATATTGTCCAACTCTTATGGGTATCACTTGTGCCAAAAGTTTGATCGTATAAAAATATTGTAGTGTTGAAATGCCAAACAGATGGCGGCAATTCTTTAGAGGCTAAAAGAATGCATTCAACTGGTTGAAGAAGACGAAGAGGCAATAAGAAATAAGAAGGTATTCGAGTATTTATGGGTGGCAGTGGTCGTTCATCACTCAAGCTCTACTTCCTAATTTCTAATTTTCTTTCTTATCAATAAGAAGGTATCCTCCTAAATTTCTAGTTTTCTTTCTTATTACCTCGCTGAGTCATTGACGGCAACCTAATTACCGGCGTTGCTGCCTGGTGCTTCTTTCCGATGGTGTCAAAGTAGCGGCCTTTATGGGGTGTCAAGTTTGCCTCAGTTGAATTGCTGTCATGCGGCCAGACCCAAGGTAAAACGACTTTCTCAGTTTCTTAAAATGCCCTAAATGGCTAAATTCATTGCACGTTGTTAATTGTTTTTTATAATACTTCTTGTAGTTCCAAAATTTTAAGCCTTAAAGGCATATAGTTTTTTATGTACTTTTCAATTTTTAAATGCATTTGCTAATCGGCTGTGTGTTATGGTAAACTAATGATATAAGTGAGCTTTACTTAAAAATCTTTAATTTCAATTTATACTCAAAGATGCTAAAAGCTAACTTATTCAATTGAGATTTAGTGTATATATTCGTTTGGCAAAGTAAGTAAGTCCATAGTTTTTCCCCTTAATAATATATCATTAAATTATTTTTAATCTTGTTGGTACAGTATGTAAATGTAGTGTTAGTTTTGTTATACATTTTTATGTTACTTTGTTGTTTAAGCCATCAAATGTATGTTTATCTAGCATATGTATTTTTGGCACATTAAGTTTTGTTTATTTTTCATTTGTTTGATTGTTTGTAACAATGAATTTTAATTAATTACTTCTTTCTAATATCAGAATTTCAGTTTAATAGACTATAGGGACTTATATGAATGTCATTTAACATGAGATTTTACTTTAAAAACATGTTGAACACAGAAAGGAAGAAACTATTAAACTTGTATGTGTTGAACATTTATTGAGTATGTAGCACAGTAGCAGATATGGACTAAATGGAGAAGACAAATGAGTTTCATGATATACTTGATATCTTAATTTAGTCTTAACATTTTTAATTTATTTATATGAAAACTAGTGTTATACCTTGGGTGCAGTTGTTTTCTGCTGCTTTTGACGGACTCCCTCATGAAAAGTTTGGTGATTAGAAAATCTTGTCCTTGGCTCTTCATCAGGTGCAACAAGATTAAATTTTATAGGCGGTGAATCTTCCTGCCCCTTTCAAATTAGGAGGTGACATAACATCTTTATTAAAAATTTTGAAAGGCCTTTTTTTATTTATAGTTTTGGCTTGTTTGCAGTAGTCTTTTAGTTTTCATTGTATTTTTTCGATTCTGATGTGTTATAATTTGGTACTTTCAGCCGCTCCATGCTAGTGTTTGTTCCATATAGTCTTTGCTATTCAAATTAAATGGAATATAAATGGGTTGGTTTTATATATAATAAACAAACATATGGCATCATTAACCTTTTTTTGCCCCGGGCATGAAAACCCTTAGGACCGGCCCTGATAATATGTTTGGATGCTGCTACATTTTAATACTGTCTGGAGTATATTATATTTGTTATTTTGTGATAATAGCAGCTGGTTTTGTTTGTGATGGGATTAGTGTAAATTTTTGTCTGTTTTGTTGTTTTCTGATGATAGCTAGGTACCTAAAGCATTGTTTAAAGGTGGATCAGTAGTCTACATGTCATTGCATGTCATTGCATTCTCACTGTTACCTATCAAAGTACTGAGGTAAATATTATGATTTTTTATATTAATTTTCTTACTTTCTAAAATTATTAGTGTTTTTTTTTCTGAGTTATGATTGAAAAACAGTGAACTAGGGTAAATTTTATGAATTATGATATTAGTTTCTGAAAATATATAATTAGGGCATCATTATGTCTTATTGCCCCGGGCAACATATTTCTTTGGACCGGCCCTGGGTCCTTGCATTGCAATTGCCTATTTATCGGTTCTAAAGGACTGTGAGATTCATTGCTTTCATGAAGGATTGGAAGTCAAACGACTTGGTGGTCTCCATGTCATTGGGACATCTTTGCATGAGTCCCGAAGAATTGATAATCAGGTAACTTTGCATCAGTATTGTGTTTTAAGGTTTTACATAAATTTAGCATATACTTTCAGACTCACTTTTTTAATTTATTTCTTGCTTTACAAAGCTTCGTGGCAGAGCAGGAAGGCAAGGAGATCCTGGATCAACACGCTTCATGGTCAGGTAAGTTCATTTAAATGATTTTTATAAAGTTTAAAGTCAATCCTTTCATCTGGACAAAATTCTTCATGTTAAATTACGTAATAGTCCTTGGAGTAGTTGACATGAACAATTTTTTTTTGTTAGAATGATTCCATATATATGTGCAAGCAAGCACATGCCTTGTGAAAAAGGGAAATCTATTCTAGTCATTCTCTTTAACAAGGCAACCTTAAAGTTGATTTTTTAAACCTGATGTTTAAAACTACATTGAGTGTGATATAGAAGTTTATGCAGAGAAGGAAAAAGATAGAAGTTTTTGAGGATGTTGCTGATGAAAAAGATAGAGGTTCTTTAGGATGCTGCTAATGAAGTTTATGCAGAGAAGGAAAAAGATAGAAGTTTGTTGGCACATAGTAAGCTAGATAATTAATGCAATTGTATATAAATGAGTTCATTTTTTTATAACATTTACTCACTATTGGAATAATTATTTGTATTTGACATATTAGTGAAATGAATTATATTTGTTATTTATGGTATTTTATTTATTATTATGAGATTTCTAATGTATTATTTAATATGAAAAATTAGTAAATCTATAAATAATATTTTTTTAAAACATTTAAAATTATGATACGCAAAAATGTGTGTCATCTTTATTTATGACATGGCCTTTCTTGACAGGGGCTTCCTTGATACGCATTGCGTGTCATAAACACGCGCGTCGTAAGGTTACGACACGCAAATGCGTGTCGTCTTCCTTTATGACAGGGCCTTCCTTGATACGCATTGCGTGTCATAACCGGCGTCGTAAATGTGCGTCATAAATGCGCGTCGTAAATGCACGCAAAAGCGCGTCATCTCTCTTTATGACAGGGCCTTCCTTGACACGCATTTGCGCGTCGTCTGAGCGTTTTACGACGCGCAATGAGCGTCGTAAAAGGCCTTTTTCTAGTAGTGTTTTTTAGCTCTTGGGTTCCATATCTAGATTCTTGAGCGTTTAGAAGGGATGAAAAGGACTGGATGAGTCAAGCTGGGA